ACCATTTTGCAACAACAAGATACACTTTTCCTTTTGATGATCTGCATCGAATTACATTCTGAGTCGATTTATGCATATCCGTCCGTCTGCCCGTCCGTCTGTACATGCATTTTTGTCAACAAATTACAGTTCGCATTTATTGCCCTATCCAGATGAAATTTTGCAAAGATCATTTGTTCGGCCCAAGGAAGAACCCTATTGAAATTGGAGATAATAGGACAAAATTTACATATATCTCCCATATATATTTTCATCCGATTTGCCTTTTATTGTGCACCAAACGTGTAATATCAGTCCGAATAGTCTGGAATTTTGCACATACAACCAAATTAGGCCTGAAAATAAATATGCTAAATTTGATCGAAATCGGTTTCGGATATAGCTATAGTTCCCATATATATTTTTCATCCGATTTGTGTTTTTTGTCCTCCGCAGCCGTAATGTGCACTCTGTTACAACAATTTTTGGGAAAATATAGCAAATATAGCTCAGAAATACATTTGCTAAATTTTATTGAGATCGGTTCAGATTTGGATATAGCTCCCATATATAACTTCGTCCGATTTACTATTTATTGTGCACCAAACGTCTAATATTTGTCCAAATGGGATGGAATTTGGCACTTACGACCGAATTGAACATAGAAGCTAGTATGACAAATTTGCTGAAGATCGGTTCAGATATAGCTATAGCTCCCATATGTACTGTTTATCCGATTTGTTATATTTGTTACCCACAGCCGTAATATGCACTCCGTAACAACGATATTCAAGGAAATATATCAAATACAGCTCAGAAATATCTTTGCCAAATATTATCGAGATCGGTTCAGATTTGGATGAAGTTCCCATATATATTTTTATATGATTTCAAATTAATTGTGGGCAATATATGTCCGAATTAAAAACATACAAATACTTCGGCATATTTAGTCCTTTGAACATTAAATTATATTTATAATCATAGCGTGTATGATTGAATACTCCCATTAAAACTTTTAATTGTTATGTGGATCTCTATTAAATTAGCAAAGTGGTGTAGGGTTTCATAAAGTCGGTCCCGCCCGACTTTAAGACTTTCCTTACTGGTTTATGGCATATATCCTATTTCTTCGTCAATCTTTTTGAATATTAAATATTTCCAACACGTTAAGGCATTAGCATATGGTGTGTGTAGTCAAGGCCCTTCTCTAGCCAACCCGCATCCAAACCCTATCCACCTACAAAGTGATTTTTTTCTTGCGTTAAACAAATTGTTTAAAGGTTTGTAAAGAGTAAATAACTTCTGCTGCTATTGTTGACTTAATTGTTGGTTTTGCATAAACCCCAAAAGGGGGAAAACAACAGAAGCAGCAACAACAAAACGAACCGAATACAGAAGGAATGTCAACAATAAAAATTTGTGTGTGTGTGTGATTGTGTGAAAATGTGAAAGAAAACTGAAGAAAAGTAAAACAAAATCCTTTACTTTTTCGCCCCTTTTTCAGTGCAGTTGTTGTGGTGTACCAACTTTACGTACACACACATACACACATACAAACTTTAGACAAACATACTTGCTACGCACTTACAGGAGCAGCTACCTTCAAAACCCAAGAATATTTTCGCCTTTTTAAAATTTGGTGTCAATGGTTGGTTGTTGGTGTCATTGGAATTTTATGGTTTAAGCACTTAAATATTTTTTGTTGCTGCTGTTGTTAAACAAAGGACCGAAAAAGGCTTAAGAGAACACTTAGCTTTCTAATGGGTTTTATTTGCCTAATACTTGATATTGATTTCGATTCCGATGATTTTTGTGCCCCATGGCAGCTGTAGGAGTTTTAAAAGCTTTCCATCTTAAAAAGGACATGAAGGTAATGCTGCCTTATTATGTTTGTTAAGGATTTTTGGGTATTTGCTTGCTGTTTTCATTTGTGTGACAAATAGAATGAAAAATGTGTATGAGCGCTTAATTACTGGCAATCCATAATGGCCAGGCTGTTCGGTTAATTGAACTTGGTAATGATTGGTTTTCAATGTTTTTCGATCTTTTGCTTTGCACAATTTGAAATGAAAGGTAACATAGACTTTGACAACTAATTTCGGATTCTCAAATTTAGCAAGAATATGATTTTTATACCCTACAACACTACGTTTTGGGGGTATTATAAGTTTGATTGGGCCAAAAATTATGTAACACCTCGAAATATTGGTTTCCCACATAGGAAAGTATATATGGATCTTCCTATCTCGCCGAGCTGAGTCGATCTAACTATGTATGTCCGTCCGTCGGTCCGTCTGTCCATGTTAATTTGTAATCACTCTACAGGTCGCAATTATGAACCGATCCTCACGAAATTGAAAATGAAAGTGGGGTTATGGTCAGAATAGAAACCTATTGTTTTTGGAGATGATCGCACGATATTTATGGGTTGAAATGGACCAAAAACAGAAAAAATCCTGATTTTGCAGTTGCTCTATAGGTCACAATTATCAACCAATCGCCGCAAAAATTTACATGGAGTTAGAGTTTAGGAGTGGGCAGAAACCTACCAATTTGGGCGGCCACCGGACAATAATTAGCGGGTAAAATAGACCCTAACTTTTATGTAAGAAAATAGGAAAATCTCCACTAAACCGCGAATATTTTCAACCCCAGCCAAATCACAAATATATTAAAAGATCACTTTTGACCATCACAGTGATGCTAATAGCCAAGAAATCGGGTAAATAGCAAAATAGGTACAATATATATGTAAAACCAGTAAAGAAAGTCTTAAAATCGGGCGGGGCCGACTTTATGATACCCTACACCACTTTGCTAATTTAGTAGAGCTCCACATAACAATTAAAAGTTTTTATGGGAGAATTCAATCATACACGCTATGATTATAATTATAATTTAAAGTTCAAAGGACTAAATATGCCGAAGCATTTGTATCTTTTAAATTCGGAATTGTATTACCCAGTTGGTGCACAATTAATTTGAAATCGGATAAAGATATATATGGGAGCTATATCCAAATCTGAACCGATCTCGATAAAATTTGGCAAAGATATTTCTGAGCTGTATTTGATATATTTCCCTGAATATCGTTGTTACAGAGTGCATATTACGGTTGTGGGTAACAAATATAACAAATCGCATGAATAATACATATGGAAGCTATAGCTATATCTGAACCGATCTTCACTAAATTTGCCATACTGGCTTCTAGACTCAATTCGGTCGTAAGTGCCAAATTCCATCACATTTGGACAAATATTAGACGTTTGGTGCACAATATAAGGTAAATCGGACGAAGTTATATATGGGATCCATATCCAAATCTGAACCGATCTCGATAAAATTTAGCAAATGTATTTCTGAGCTGCATTTGATATATTTCCCCAAATATTGTTGTTGCAGAGTGCATATTACGGCGGCGGTGGACAAAAATAACAAATCGGATGAACAATATATATGGGAGCTATAGCTATATCTGAACCGATTTCGATCAAATTTGGCATATATATTTTTAGACCTAATTTGGGTGAATATGCAAAATTCCATGCAATTCGGGCTGATATTACACGTTTGGTGCACAATACAAGGCAAATCGGACGAATATATATATGGGAGCTATATCTAAATTTTTACCGATTATTTCCAATTTCAATAGGGTTCGTCCTTGGGCCAAACAAATGATCTGTGCAAAATTTCATCTGGATCGGGCAATAAATGCGACCTGTACTTTGTTTACAAAAATACATGGACAGACGGACGGACGGACGGACGGACGGACAGACGGACGGACGGACAGACGGACGGACGGACAGACGGACGGACGGACAGACGGACGTACATACGGACGGACGGACATGTATAAATCGAGTCAGAATGTGATTCTATGCAGATCATCAAAAGGAACTATGGGTCTATCTCGTTTCCTTCTGCATGTTACAAACAAATGCACAAAGACATAATACCCTGACCACCTTGTGTAGGGTATAAAAAAAGTGAATATTTATACCCTACACCACAAGGTGGTCAGGGTATTATGTCTTTGTGCATTTGTTTGTAACAGGCAGAAGGAAACGAGATGGACCCATAGTTCCTTTTGATGATCTGCATAGAATCACATTCTGAGTTGATTTATGCATGTCCGTCCGTCTGTCCATGTATTTTTGTAAACAAGGTACAGGTCGCATTTATTGCCCGATCCAGATGAAATTTTGCAAAGATATTTTGTTTGGCCCAAGGACGAACCCTATTGAAATTGGAGATAATCGGTAAAAATTTAGATATAGCTCCCATATATATCTTCGTCCGATTTGCTTTTTATTGCGAACCAAACGTGTAATATCAGCCCGAATTGTATGGAATTTTGCATATACATCCTAATTAGGCCTGAAAATATGTATGCCAAATTTGATCGAAATCGGTTCAGATATAGCTATAGCTCCCATATATATTGTTCATCCGATTTGTTATTTTTGTCCACCGCAGCCGTAATTTGCACTATGCAACAACAATATTTGGGGAAATACATCAAATACAGCTCAGAAATACATTTGCTTTTATCAAGGTTGACTTCGAACATATTGCAGTGTTGTAGGGTATCACATGGTCGGCCCCGCACGACTATAGCCTTTGCTTAGTTGTTATTGTTAAGTTAATTGCTTTCCTCGTGATATCGAATGCGCTTTAAATTTGCCGCCATTTTGTCAAACCACAATAGACTCCAAAAAACAAACAAATTGCCCCCCAGGCAATATAGACCATGAGTTACACAGAGAGATTTACTTCCAAAAATTAAAATTTCCCCCACAGAAATATGGAGAAGAGACCACAAAATAAATTTACAAAATTTTGCCCAAATCTGTTTATTCAATACCGAAACAAATGCATAAATCTATTTCAATTTCATTCTCATTTTCGGGTTGTGGGACAACACACATGAACACATACACGGACAATCTCTCACATCCATACAATCACACACACACACACATGCAGACACATATGTCAATTGAACTTACCCATAACATTGCATTGGCGTTCTGGACTTAATGTCGTACTCGTTGTTGGGGGCGGTGTTGATGGTGGCAACGATGCTGATGCTGCTGCTGCTGAGGCCGATTCGGCTGCAGAACTTGTCGAGTTTGACACCAATGACTGGCTTAACTTAGAACTAGCGCTAAAACTATTGCCCTGATTCTGGCTGGTAGTATTATTACTGTTGATGTCTGTGGTTGTGGTGGTGGTGATGGTGGCGGCGCCATTGGTGTTTGTGTTGCTGTTGCCGACGATGCTGGTGGAGCTGTTGTTTGAGTTTGAAATTAACAAGTTGCCATCACCACCACCCAAAATTTGTTGTTGCTCCAATGATGTTGGCATATTACCCTCAACAAAACTGTCATTTCTCGTTACTGTTGTTGTTGCTGCTGCTGCTCTTGTTTGGGAAACAAGCGAGGACAATAGCTCGTTATCCTTGCCATTTGTATTAGAAATTAAATGTGACTTTTGCTTCGAATCCATTTGGACCGTTTGGTTTTGTTTATCATGGTCGGAAGTTGGAAACTGCTGATGTTGCTGCTGCTGGGAGGATATATCAGCCGTTGCCGTTAACATTATATCAATATTTACAACACCGCCGATGCCCTGCTCCTCATTGGAGCTCAATCGACCATCATTATTGTTTGAGTTGTTGCTGTTGCTGTTGTCTTGTTGACTTTTAATGCCAGTCCCATGCAAAAAGGAGGGACCATTGTTATTGTTGTCTTTGTAATTCCGATAGGGATTGCTGAAAGGCGAAATGTTGTCATTCTCATTTTCTTTGTTGTTGTTGTTGTTGCCATTGCTGTTATCTACACTCCCTGCGGATGAAAAAGCATTTGGCCCATTGTTGTTATTGAAATTTATGTCATAGTTTAGATTCCCATTGTTCTCCAGACCCTCGCCACCAGCAGCTGCATTTGGCGGAAATGTTAAAGTTTTTGTGGTGCTGCTGCCACCAGCCTGCAATGGCATCGAGGCTGCATCGATGTCGATATCAATATTTTCATAGTTTTTATCATCCTCCTCGAAATCATCATCGAATGCACCACCCATCTCACCCAGTTGGGCGCCATTGGGTTTCTTGTTCTTCTCCGTTGATGTCAACCAACGATGAAAGGCATCATCTTGATCGACATCAGCAACGTCGATGCCATTGTCGGAAGCAGCCGAGACAAAATCTTTATTCTGTTCTTGGTGTTGCCTCTGGTTAATGCCTTTGTTAACTTTATCTCCATTGGGTCTACCATAGTCCCAAGGTGAAAACATTTGTTTCTGTTGATTTTTGCGATGAGTTTTTGTTGTTGTTTGGTTTTTTATTTTTGTTTATGGCAAAAGTCATTTCGCCAGGAAGTGTGTTTACATAGCAGCGCCAAACGGTGGCACAGAAAGCCAAAGGAAAAAAGAGAAGAAAAGCCAAAAAGTTATTTAATAAATCAGTATTTTTTTTTTTTTTTTTTTTAATCTCAACAGATAATTAAACAGGTTTATTTAAGTTAGTTATTTAAATTAATTATTGAGTGTTAAAAAAGGGAAATTGTTTATTCAACAACATTCAACTAAAGTTGTGTATAAAATACCAGTAAAAGGTTAAGTTAGACATGAGGAAATTAAAATTATAAAATCCACCAATTTCGTTCATAAAAATCCTTTAGAAAAAAATCAGGATTTTTTATCACCTGATCCCATATCACCAATTTCTGAGGAAGACGTCCTCAAAATTCTGTGGAACAATTTTTTCTTCAAAATTATGATTTTTATCAGTTTGGTCAGCTGTTCCTCTGAAAACTGAAACTGAAAATTCCGCAATCTTTGAGATTTCTTAAAAATTCAAAATATTTGAATGAAATGCCTATAACAAATGGTTTTATCTAAGGCTGAGGTCAGTTCAGTCAGAGTAATCAAGTACCCATAAACCTAAAGTAAAATAAGTAAAAAAGCTGTACGTTCGGCCGGGCCGAACTTTGAATACCCTTTACAATTTGGAACGAATTTGGCAATTTAAAAAAAAAACCTCCATAGCATGTAGTATCCGTTACGAACTTCAAATACCAAATTTTAAACAACACAACAATCACTAAAGTACCGAATATCGAGAGGTACCGTTGTATGGGGGCTATACGAAGCCGTGGATCTGCTCAGACAGGTTGCTGTCGTTGGCTGTAGTATCCATTACGAACTTCAAATAACAAATTTTAAACAATTACGGTGAATAATATCGCTAAAATCATCAAAATACGAATAGGTACCATTATAAAAGGGCTACACGAAGGCGTGGACCTACATGACCTAATTTCAAGACCAAAAGTTCTGCAGGCATAAAATACATTTGAGTAAAAATTTCAATCAACCTACTTTATTTCGTTCGGAAGCTAGTGTGATTTCCACAGACATCGATCGCTAAATCGACATAGAATTTTATGCTGATCACAAATATATAATTTGTGGGATCTAAAATGTATATTTCGAGGTGTTACAAACGGAATGACAAAATTAATATACCCTCCATACTAGGGTGGACCACGAGTGTGATAATATTCAATTCTTTATTATCAGCTCTTTCTGTCAAAATTATGTTTAACATGCGGATTTGTGTAGGTGATGCAGTATTAGTTTTCAATTATTGGTTATTATACCCTACAACACTATGTGTTGGGGGTATTATAAGTTTGATTGGGACAAAAATTATGTAACACCTCGAAATATTAATTTCCCACATAGGAAAATATATATGGATCTTCCTATCTCGACGAGCAAAGTCGATCTAGCTATGTATGTCCGTCTGTCTATGTTAATTTTAATCACTCTACAGGTCGCAATTATTGCCCAATCCTCATGAAATTGAAAATGGAGGTGGGGTTAAGGTCAGAATAGAACCCTATTTTTTTTTGGAGATGATCGCCAAATGTTTAGGGGTTGAAATGGAGCAAATACTGAAAAAATGTCGGATTTTGCAGTAGCTATACAGGTCGCAATTATAGTCCGATCGAAGCGGAAGTTAGCATGGGGTTAGAACTTAGGACTGGACAGAAGCCTTCCAATTTTGATTTTCATCGGGAAACATTTAGTGGGTGAAATAGGCCACAACATTTGTGTTAAATAAAAGTTAACTTTTCCATTAAACCGCGAAAATTGTTAATCCCGGCAAAATCACAAATAGACGAACGGGTCATTTCTGACCATTTCGTACATTCCTATGGTAAATATATCGGATATATGTAGCGAAATATATACAATGTATATATACAAAGGAAGGGGATGTTAGCTAGAATGCTTATATCTCATGAATGGCTGGATCGATTTTGACAAATTTTGTCAATTCAGAATGCCCACTTAGCATAAAAGTATAAAATCTAAAAAAGTCACATAACAAGATCTCAATAATAATGTTAATATAGGTTTTGTAGTATTTTGTGAATTTTTTTATTTTTTTCATATTTTTTATCGCATGCGATTTTTTCAATTTGTTTCAATTTGACTTATAATATTTTGTTATATTTTTATACCCTCAACCATATTATGGAGGGCATATTAATTTTGTCATTCCGTTTGTAACTCCTTGAAATACTCATGTCAGACCCAACAAATATATATATATATTCTTGATCAGCGTAAAATTCTAAGACGATTTAGCCATGTCCGTCTGTTTGTCTGTGTGTCTGTCTGTCTGTCTGTTGTAATCACGCTATCTTTCGAACAAATAGAGATAGAAGGCTAAAATTTTGCACACATGTATATTTTGCCAGTGGGCAGGTTAAGTTCGTAAATGGGCCATGTAGGTCCAAGAAATCATATAGCCCCCATATAACGGTACCTCCCGATATTCGGTATTTTGATGATTTTAGCGACATTGTTTACCGGAATCGTTTCAAAGTTGGTATTTGAAGTTCGTAATGGATACTACAGCCTAAGACAGAAAATAATCTATGTAGGTCCACGTCTTCGTATAGCCCCTATATAATGGTACCCCCCGATATTCGGTATTTTGATGATTTTAGCGACATTATTTAACGGAATCGTTCCAAATTTGGTATTTGAAGTTCGTAATGGATTCGTAATCCTAAGTCAAAAAATGAGCCGTGTAGGTCCACGTCCTTATATAGCCCCCATATAACGGTAGCCCCGATATTCGGTATTTTCATGATTTTAGCGACATTATTTACCGAAATCGTTCCAAATTTGGTATTTGAAGTTCGTAATAGATACTGCAGAATAAAACAGAAAATGGGCCATATAGGTCCAAGTCTTCATATAGCCCCCATATACCGTACCCCCCGATATTTGGTATGTTGATGATTTTTAGCGACATTATTTACCGGGATTGTTTCAAATACGGCATGTGAAGGTCGTAATGGATACTTCAGCCCATGCCAGAAAAATGTCTGTGCAGGTCCACGTTTTCGTATAACCCCCATATAACGGTACCCCCATATACGGTATTTTAATGATTTTAGCTACATTATAAACAGATTTTTCTTCAAGTTTCGCATTTAAATATTGTAATAACTTATGACAAATGCAGGCCCACGTCGTCGTATAAACATTCGGAATTCTTAAGATATTAACAGAATTTTTAACGGATTTTATTTTTTTGAAAATTGGCAAATTTGTATCAAATGCTGGAGGGTATTAAAAGTTCGGCCCGGCCGAACTTACAGCTTTTTTACTTGTTTCACCTTACAACGCAGGTTGCTGATATTATATAAGTATTGTACTCCTCACGAAAATGTTCACAAGGGTAGGGTTGGGCTCAGAAGGGCTAGGCCTATTGTTTTCAAAGATGTCCGCAATATATTAGTGGGTTTAAATGGACCAACAACTAAAAATTTTCCTGATTTTGCAGCCGTTATAACGTTCACAAATAGAAACCAAAGGACACGAAATCTCGCATAAAATTAGAGTTACGACAGAGGGTGCAATGAACCACTAATTTTGTGTGTACCAGCATTACTTACAGGCGATATCCGAAATACACAAAAGGCGAATTTCTGATAGATGAATCTTAATTTGGAGATACAGAGGGGCTTATTGCTTTTGGAGATGATTGCAAAATATTTAGGGGTTCAAATTGACCAAAAACAGAAATGTTTTTCCGATCACACAATTGAAGCCAATCGACACGCCTGTGAAGAGAAATAAGGACAGGGAAGAATTCTAGGATTGTGGATGACCATTGGATTATATTTATCTGTAAAATGGACTACAACAACTAACAGTCCGACGGAGTGCATAAATGTTGGGCAAATGTCCCTAGTCAAAATCCTAATTTCAAAAGCGGAAACTTCCAAAATCGATTTGGACATAAGGGGGCTTCTAACATATTGTAGTGTTGTAGGGTATAAATAGTCGGTCCCGCACGACTATAGCCTTTTCTTACTTGTTTTTAATCTACCTATATGTCTGGAGGTCCTTGATTCTTTTAAATCCACAATTTTTGGTCAGGAGGTCTATGAGAAATGTTCGTTAAAGGCCGTTTAATGTAAAAATTCTTTTATAGAAAGTCACAAAAAAATTATTGCTGGGAAGATCTTGAAAATGCTTAAATAGAGTATCCTTGCGTCATAGTAAATCTCATAATTTTTATTAGTCAAAAGATGTTGCTTTCATTTATTATTTAGAACATAAAAACATATCGCAAGTGTTATGTGGAATATATTTCCAAATTTCTGCATCACCCATGAAGAACTCAAGACACCATGTGTTTGCTCTCATCTTTTCGGCAGCACTCTCCCACATTATTTTCCAAATCATAAAAATGTAACTTTCATCTTAAAACTCCAACGGAAAAAAGTATTTTAAAACATAATTTCCATCCATTCTTTATTATGAATTTTAATCCTTTTGTTTTGCGGATTATTAGCCACAATACGCAGTGGTCTGGATGTGGGCGGTTGTGGATGTGGGTGTTATTCTCAGCATCAACAAAATCCCCCAAGCCAGAAAAAGTTAAAGATTATACATTTTTAAAAATATTAGCAGGAAAAAACCCTATCTCCCCCTATCCCCCACAATGTTTGCCATAAAATGGCAATGGCATAACTGTTGCCATATAAACTGAAGACCAACGAGAAAACGTTGGAGAGAGAAACACCAAAACCAAAATGTTTGCTGTCGCTGCTTCTTCAACCCAAGGAAAATTAAAACTAGAAATTTTCACACAAAGAAAATTCTTTTATTTTGAGAAAATAAAAAAAAAAAAACGGACGACAAAAGTTGATTGTGGTTAAGTCGCACATGACAGATGACGCTGACAATGGACTTTTGTAAGTTTTCTC